TATGTTCTACAACTCTCTGAAATCTCTATGAACTAGTATGAAGAATATAAAAAGAATGCTTGAATTTGAGAAATTTTTGGAGTCAATAAAATTGGAATGGGGCTTCCTTTATATAGATTTTGTTGGCACCTATTCAATTTGAATAGAAAAGGCATGAAGAAGAGACATGACCCTTCATACCAAGAATTACATCAGCAATTCCCATGTCCTTCATGTCAAAATGTTTATTCAACATTTTCTTGATAGTTTTGATCATGTCATTATTACTACCTATGATGAGCATATCATCCATATAAAGACATACTATAACATAACATTTGTTTGTGTTTATAATATAAACATATTTGTCATATTCATTAATTTTAAATCCATTTAACATCATTGCCTTATGAAATTTCTCATGCCATTGCTTTGGTGCTTGTTTTAAACCATATAATGATTTAACCAATTTACACACTTTCTTTTCTTTTCCTAGAACAAAAAATCCTTATGATTGTTTCATATAAATTTCTTCATTTAACTCACCATTTAAGAAAGCTGTTTTCACATTCATGTGATGAATTTCTAGATTGTACAAAGATGCAATGGCAATTAGCATTCTAATGGATGTTATTCTAGTAATTGGTGAGTATGTGTCAAAATAACCACAAGTCTTGCCTTGCATTTGTAAATTGATCTATCCGCTTTCATTTTTTTCTTAAAAATCCACTTGTACCCAAAAAGTTTACAACCTGTGGAAAATCTACCAATTCCCAAGTGTGATTTTGCAAGATGGATTCAACTTTGCTATTTACAACCTTTTTCCATAAAGGAGTCTCAGGACTAGACATAGTTTCTTTGATAATTAAAAGCTCATTTTCTAACAAAAAATTTAGAAAATCTGGACTAAAAGATTTTGAGGTTCTAGCACGTTTACTACGCCTAGGTTCCTCTTCCTTATTTTTGTAACAACCATGACCTATGATTAATTGTTAAACCATGATTAAGGATGCCTAATAAGTAATTAAGATGAAATTCTGAAGTAATTGCATGTGTGTTGCATTATTTGTGTTTCTATCTATTTAAACTAAAAGTTGTGCTCTCCAGAATGATTTGTTGAAATACTAGCTTTTGGAGGGATACTTAAACTTATAGCCCAAATTTTATTTTATTTTAATTTTGTTTTCCATAAATAATCTAAAACTTGGATTTGAGGCAAAATGAATACTATGAAAATTTATTGAAATTAATCAATTGGCATGTGGCATAGCAGTAAGAATATCATTGAGCGGCATAAGAAACAAAACATTGATTCCATGCTCTGCTTCTTGTTTAGAACATCTTCCCCAATCAAATGGGATAAGTCATCAGCCAACTAGAATAAAAAAGGGGACAATTTGTCCATCCAATTTAAATAAATTAAAGAGCAATGGTATTTTATGCTACAAACAACAATGCCATTAGTTTCAAGATTGCTACAAAAACATTTTTAAGATAAAATTTAAAAAAAAAAAAAATTATTAAAATGGTTCTTATATATGGATCCCGTCGGATCTGATGGTCTGGCAATAATACGCAATGGAGTTCCATCCATTAATAGCCCATATTTTCGTTTGAAATACCGGTGCCATAAAAGATAAGAATTATAAAAAAGGAAAATGTTTGGTAGCTCAAAATTTTGTAGCTCAAATCTCTCAAATCCCTTAAAACGATCGTTTTGAGGGATTTGAGTCATTTGAGCCACAAAATTTTGAGCTACCTAGCATTGTTGTATAAAAAAATCAACAATGCTAGAGGGCCACAATTTTTGTGGCCACAATGGCTCAAAACTGTCAAAATGACGAAAATTGTGGCCACAATGACAGTTTTGAGCCATTGTGGCCACAAAAATTTTTTTTTTCAAATATTTGTATCCTATTTAATTCACAACATATTCTTGTCTTTTAATAAGTCATATTATTTAGATATTTGATCTATCAAATCTTAATTTTCTTATTTAAAATATTTTATGGGCAAATTTGACTCTTATAAATATTTCTTGAACTAAGTGAAATATAAATAGGTGAAGAGAGATTTATGAATAAATTTTCCTAAAAATTTATCAACAGTGCTAGGGAGCCCAGTGGGGGGCACCCCAGTAGGCCAAAAATAATTTTTTTTTTCCTTTCTTTTTAATCACACGGTGTGCCACGTGGCACGAGGGGGGGGATCACTGGGGGTGGGGGTCTTAAGCTTTATTCAAAATTTATTCCCAAATGTGACGTATAATACAATAAACATTTCATTTTAAAGGGTATACTATATATTGCAGTTATAACATTTGTAATATTTGTTTATGATATTTATGGTTATGGTTATGGCTTGGTTATAATTCATTATGGTATTAATTATGACTTATTGTGATATTAATTATAACATATTGTGACTATTCTTTTAGTTATAATCGTAAAAATCTTTGATTATACCTTATGTGGTATTTGGTTATGATTTATTATTTTTTCTTAGTTATGACTAACTCCCACAAATGTTATAAATTAATGATTCATCTATCGAATTTATTCAATTTGAATTCGCCCAAATGAGACTCTGACTAGTAAAAACTCTTATCGATTAGAGTCTCATTCAGGCAAATTCGAACTGACCAAATTTAGTTGATGTAACGATACTGAATGTTATAACTTACCTATAACTCGTGCCCTAAAAAGTTTATATATAGTAGTGAGTAATGTTATGGTTTATAAAAGAAATATCATAGATTTTCCACCTTTGAATTAAATTGTGGTGTTTTATTTTATGTTACAAATCACATGTACCTCGTTTGGGAACAGGTTTTTTTAGTAACTTTTTAACTTTTTGGCTAAAATGTGATGTAAAAAAAACTAAGGCTCTGTTTGTTTGTATTCTCAAATCAATTTTCTACGTGTGTTTTGGAGCATGATGTTTGGTTACGTTTTCAAATCAATTTTCTACACTCTCTGCAGAGAACTCTGTGCACACAGGCGTGTTTTCTATCCAAAGGAAGACCACCCGGTAGACCACCCGGATGTCCACCCGGATGTCTACCCGGATGTCCGGCTGAATTCCAGAATTTTTTTTTTTTTTTTTTTTTTTTTACATAATCAGGACAAATATTTTCTGAAAATTTTTAAATTTTTTATGTGCTTTAAAATAATTTTGAGTTGTATGTTTAGTTATGAGTTGTAAATTTTTGTATCACATATCAAATGTCACATCAATAATTCCCCACTCAAATCAAACCTCTTTTCCAAAACTATTTTCAAAACTCTTTACCAAACAAATTTTCTACATTCAAATCATAATTCCACAACACACAAACTCAAAATACAACTCATACTCTCAAATCACATTTACAAAACACAACCAAACGCTACCTAATATGTTTGGGATGATTTTTTGACTTTTTACGAAAAGATGTGCAAAAAGTAGAGAGAAAAGGGAATCTTTGACTTTTTGGTATGAGTTGTTGACTTTTTGATTTTTTTAGTAACTTTTTGACTTTTTGGCTAAAAGGGGCGCTTGCCAAACGAGGCCCATAATTTATCAATCATAGAGCACTACAAGACAAAATTAAGTTTATACTATTTGCAAAAGATTTCAAAATTAAAACATACTTACATTAAGATAAGCCATTTTTCTTGTTTTGTTACCTATCATATCTGATTATTTGTTAAAATTTCATGAAATTTTTTTATTATATTTCTTTCATGAAACCTACACTACTCATAACTCATAACATGATCCATGATCTAAATTTAATTATTGTCCTGCGACCTCTATATTTAAAATAAATATTTCTCATCTCCAGTTCAGATTATGAATTAAAAGGTGATGTTTAGGCTCGCAAAACACATCGTAGGTCCCATTTTGATATTTCGAATCGTTGATTTGTCAAATTTTTTGTGTATATCATTCACAAAAATAATTTAGTTGATCTGATAATCGTAATTTATTCAATTTATTACATTTGCTTATAAAAAATAGACGACGACTATATTTTTAAAAATAAATAATCTATTTTTTTTATTAGAACAAACGTAACAAATTATATTGATTACAAATATTAAATTAACGTAATTTTTTTTATAAATGATATATATAAAAATTGACAAAATAAATAATTTAAAATATCCAAATAACGTTCTGAAATCAAAACGACGTCGTTTAGTTGTTTTGATTTTTTTTTTTTTTTTAGAAGAAGAAAATCAAAAAAGAAGAAGGAAGAAGAAGAAGACGAGAAGGAAGAAGAAGAAGAAGAAGAAGAAGAAGAACTGGAGGGGCCAACATCAACCCGGCTGGGTTGCGATGGCCTCGACCCTCGATCGGCAGAGGCGGAGGCGCGGCGATCGGCGACGGCCTCGACCCCCTCTTCTCTCTTTCTTTCTCTTTCTCTCCCTCTCTCTCTGCGTTTCAAACTGGAGGGGAGAAAAAAAAGAAAAAAAAAGAAAAAAAAAAAGAAACCTGCCCAAAATGACGTCGTTTTTGACAATCAGGAGATTCGGAAAAGAAAAATTCAGGGAAAAAATCATTTTTGAAATTCAAAATTTTAAAACACTTCTCAATCACACATGTCTCTTTCCAATTAAAATTTTGAGCGGATAAACAATACAAAAGTGTCTGTTGGGATGTGAGTTGGGCTCATTTTTGAGCTAAATTAGTTATAAAATAATGAAATTAATTAAAAAGTTAATAAAATAAAAAATTACGTTCAAATTATAATTTTTTTTTTCATAAAAATTTTAAAAATATAAAAAAATTAATTCAAATAAACTTTTTACCTAAAATTAAAAAATCAAAAAACCCAAACGAAGCCAAAGTTGCTAAAAAAAAGTCAATTTTTTAGCGTTTTCAACTTTTTTTTAGCCAAAAAAAATTAACTTTTTTTATCCAAAACAAAAAAAAACTATTAAAAAAAATAAAAAGTTAAATTTTAGGTGAAAGCACGTGCGACCCAACCGAAAAAAAATAATAGTATATATGGAAAGCACTAAGAATCTAGCAAAGATCAAGCATAACAACGTAGACCTCTCCCGGATCCGCAACCCTCCAACAAGGTCAGTTCTTATATCCTCTCTCTCTCTCTCTGTCTCTCTCACTCTGTATTCCTCTTCCTTCCTATGCCTCAACAATGTTTGCTTACCTTCTTGAAACATTTCTGGGTTTAAATTGATTTTTGATTCTCTTTTCGTATTTCGCATGAAGCTTTTGTTTGGTTGGTGAGAAAACTTATGAGAAAATAAATAAATAAATAAATAAAAAATGAAAGGGTTTTTTTTGGGACTTGTATTGTTTCATTAAATTGGGTTTCAAAGTTCTATATTTCTATCGAAAGAAATATTACTGGGTTCCAAGTATTCAAAGACCTATACAGTCTGATGAGTTTTTTTTATTACAGTTGACTTTGTTTTGCAGGATAAGCACCAGAACGAAAAAAAAAGAAAAAAGGCACTCAAAATTTTATTTTCTTTTGTGTTTTTCTTTTCCACTCCATTTTCTCTGCAATCAAACGAAGCAAAGCGGGTTCTGCATTTCTTTCTTTCCCTCTCTTTCTCTGTCAATGAACGAGTAAAATTTGATAATGATGACCTTTTTGAAAATTCATACACAAATCACTTCATACATAATCATTTGAAATTTTTTAATATGATTGATTGCTAATTATGCCTAATCATTTACCTCCACTCATAACAGTGGAACTGGTCGAGATCAACACATCCTTCTAATCAATCTGAGTTTTTCTTAATTGATTTCTCCTTTGGAGATCACTTAAAAAGGCTGTGTTTGGATCATGGCCCACCTTTTCCATTTTCAAATCACTACCTAACTCCGTGATCCAAACTAAGCCTAAACTCCATGATCCGAACTAAGTCTAAAGGTGTTCAGTTAGTTATGTACAAAGTTTTGAGAATATTTTTTGCTAACAAAGAACCACGGTAAGGCAGGCCCACGTTAGATCCACCCTATAGAGTAAACACTTAATACGCTCAATCACTTGTCAACCACTTGTATCAAAGTTTTGAGATTTCGCTTAACAACGCATAATCAGACATGGAAAATAATTTGCTTGTTTGGTTTCGTTTTATTCTGATTTCAGAAAATTTTATTTTTTTATTTTTTATTTTTTTTTTGCTTTTACTGAATTTTTTAAATATTTTAAACAATTTTTTTTTAATTTTTAGATACACTTAACATAAATATACATAAAAAGTATAATTTTTATAAAAAAATATTTTAAAAATTCAATAAATATCAAAAATATAAAAAAAATACAAAAATTTAATATTTTTTTGTATTTTTATGCATTTGTTAATTTTTTAAAATATTTTTTATAAATTTTTTATTTTTTAGATATATTTAAATAAAGTACATCTAAAAATGTAAAAAAAAAATTAAAATTTTAAAAATATACATTAAAAATAAAAAATACAAAAAATAAAAAACTTAAATTTTAAAAAACTTAATCTAAAAAATTCAAACAAAACGCATTGAATGGATTTATTTTTTGAGAAATGGGTCCTAAGAACAAACCTGGCAAAATTTTGTCCGCTTGTGTTTTCTCTGTTCATTATTTTATTTTTTAAAATTACATTGTTTTTTTTTTACTTTTTTATATCTTTTAATAAAAAGTAAAAAGTACTACTTATTTATGTTGTTGTATAGTTATAGATTTGATAGATTTAGATCTTATAGTTCGATTACTGATCCCCACTTGAGCTGGCTTTGTTTGTATATGAATATTTTATTATTATTATTATTATTATGAGTATTACATGGTGTTTTTTTAGTGCTCAAGTCGTTCTACAAGTTCCTTGAATATAATATTTTTTTGGGCAAATTATAAACACTCTTCGAGATTTGATAAAAATATAAATTTTTTTTTAGATTTAAAAAATTACATCTTGTCTCTGAGATTTATATTTTTATAACAAATTATTCTTTGAGATTTTTATTTTTATACAGATTTCTTCCTAATTTGTTATGCAAATTTAACCATCAAAGAATAATTTGTAATTTGTCAAACCTCACGAAGAATCTATATTTTTAACCAATCTCGAGAGAGTGTTTGTAATTTTTCCTATTTTTTTTAAGGAGTGATTTAGGGAAGGTCAGATATGCTTACGCAATATCCTTTGACTAATAACTGATTAATTAATTATTATTATTATTACGTCGTTGTTATGATTTGGACGGATCTGAAATTTCCACTCTTATTTTGTTCTTGCCCTTTTCAATTGAGGACTTATGTTACGTATATAGATTCGGATATCAGGGTCAGGTGTGAGTATGTATCAAGAGGTTCGATCTATATTAAATCATAAGATACGTGAATTTAGTAAAAAATTGTTATATTTTTATATATTTAATCAAGTAGATGAGATAAAATAGCATCATATGTAACTTATAGTGTTAAAAAAATATTTTTAGTAATTATAAAACAATATATATTTATAATAATAGTATTATATACAATTATATAACAAGTATTCGTTGAAAAGTATCCAACACATATCCTATACCTTTGTTTGAGTGTCGGGTGTCCGACACGAATATTTGATTTATTTTAAAAAATCCGTATAACATAGTTGAGGACCTACATGATGTTTATTGGTCCCCTTGTCAAAATTTAGCCAAAATTGAAACAAAGTGAGGTCGTAGTTGCTTATGACCAAGGTTTTAAGAAACGGTTACGGTTGCCATAATGGTTGCGGTGACGCGGTAATGGTTGTAGAGTGTAAAAGCGCAACATAATGGTTGTGGTAATTGGAACCGTAATTTTTTTTATTTTTCGTACAATTTGAAGAAAACTTACCGATACATATATATTTTTTTTCCTTTCAAAATCACATTTATTGGGATTTAAAATAAGTTTTGATTAATTTTTAAGTATGATCCAATATATTTCATATTTTCAAATCACTATAAAAGAAGTTTTTTATATTTTATTTCAATAGTTAATGAATTTAAAAATAATTGATTTTAAATGTTTACAAATTATTTTTTACCAATAGCTGAACTAACTGAATAAAAATATTCACAATTATTAAATGAAAGGATTATAAAATAAAAATTGTGCCATGAATTTAAAAAAAAAATTATAAAGAAAAAAAATTCATATAAATTTTTTTCTTTGGATTTGGATATATTTGTTCTTTTTTGTAATTTTTTTTTTTTTTGAAAAAAGGAAACTATTCAGAATATTGTAAAAAGGTAAAACGGTGCCTAACGGATCGTTATAGCCGTTACAGTATTGCTATGGCCGTTACGTAACACCGAAACGATTGTTACACATGTGAATTTCCATTACACCGATATAGCGGCTGTAATGGGTGACAGTAACCATCACAACAGTTACGTAACGGTTGCGGCCACTTTTTAAAACCTTACTTGTGACCTTTCACCGGCTCATTAGGCTGCCAAATTGGGCATGGCAATTAAACAGTTTTGTGTATTTGTTTCTGTTTTTTTTTGGTTAGTTTTTTCACTTTTGAGTTCATTTTAAATGTATCCTTCTAAAAGAATTTGGTTAGTTTGTCAAAAAGCACAAATAAATATGTAGAACAAACTATTCTGCACATTTTTATTGTTTTGAGTAAAGTATGTTATCATCTAAGCCAAGCAATGGCGATAACCTCTACCGTCATGTGTATGAATAGGTGGTCCAATATTTGGGTTCCACATATGTATGACTGTGCACTTTTAATGCATGAAAATTAGAAGTGTATTGAAAACAAACATGCAATGGTCTGTTGAAATTAAGCGAAGAAACAGTTAGGTTATTCAAGGAACATTCTTGTAGCAGTAGCCCTAAAATTGCTAATTATTTGGATTATATAGTATCATAATTTATCATGACAAACCCTCTACCGTCGCAAGAATCAAATCAGTAGATGGCCTAAACTTTGTCACTCCTGAATTTGATATATGTTTCCTTTATTTCCGTTTTTGCTTTGAATTGATTCCATTGAACGGTAAATCTTGTCATTTTGATAGTATTGTCACAAGTTCATTGACCTACGTGTGATTCTGTAAATTTAATGTATTAATTTTTATTGGAGACAATAAAGATATAGCTGATGTAATCGAATCATCTTGGTGTATTTATATTAGATAGTGAGCTAGGTAAAGAACATGTGTATGAATAGGTGGTCCAATATTTGGGTTCCACATATGTATGAATGTGCACTTTTAATGCATGAAAATTAGAAGTGTATTGAAAACAAACATGCAATGGTCTGTTGAAATTAAGCGAAGAAACAGTTAGGTTATTCAAGGAACATTCTTGTAGCAGTAGCCCTAAAATTGCTAATTATTTGGATTATATAGTATGAACACTCATAATTTATCATGACAAACTTGGGCTTATCGAAGCTTGATTTAGGGCTAGGAGAAGGAAAAAGATTGAGACCCACCACAACTATGATTTGTCACAAACTCAATCATGTAAGGTTCAATTTCCTTGCCATGTCATTGTGGGTGAATTGTGTGATTTAAATTGTAGGCCTCTAGCATTTCTCGAGTTAGAATATCTGTTGTTGTATTGTTGACTTGTAGTTAGAATATCACATTGTAGAATGTTTGGATACTTGGATTACAGTTTTGCAGAATCCTATATTTGCTGAAAAAATAGTTTTTGTTTTCTAAATTGGCATTGGCAGGTGGGCCTTTCACTGTATATTCAGTGGCATGAACCAACAGATTCTCAAAAAAATCTCCACCTGTTTTAATGGGATGCCTTTGCTCAAAGAACACGAAGTGGACACCTGGGTATGAAGAGCCTACAATTCTTGCTGCTGAAACACCCTGTGAGTATGCCCGTAATGTCACAAATATTAGCTTTTAAAATCAAAGATTTTGTATCCATTTGCCCTAATTTCAGATTAGAAATTGATTGTATTCATTTGCTTAATATAATTGAAGTTATAAATCGGTTGTACACTGTAGTTTGCTTTCTTCTAATATATGAGTATGCTTCTTGACTGGTACAATCTAAAAAATTAAGTTGTAAATTATCAAAAGTTTAACTTCTGACATATTTTCTTTAATCTTTGCAGTTACTGTGAGTGAAGTAGAGGCCTTATATGAATTATTCAAAAAATTAAGTAGTTCCATTATCGATGATGGACTTATTCACAAGGTATGTTCTGTGTTGGCTGTTTAAGACTTAAATCAACTCAAGGTGATATTTAGTCACTTTATGCTGTTTAGGATTTTTATTTATTTATTTATTTATTTTGAATATTTTCTTTGCAATCTTGTCAACAGGAAGAGTTGCAGCTCGCGCTTTTCAAGAACAAAAATAACAGAAACCTATTTGCTGACAGGGTCTGCTTTGGATCTTCTTAATGCTTATAATTCTTATATGTTAAAGATGTATAAAATGCAATGTTGATTCGATTTTGTTTATGCAGATATTTGATTTGTTTGATGTGAAACGCAACGGGGTTATTGAGTTTGGAGAATTTGTTCGTTCATTAAGTGTTTTTCATCCAAATGCACCTGTAGCAGACAAAATTGCATGTAAGGTTCATTTTTTATATTATTGACTTCTATACTTATTTTTATATGTACATTAAACTTGAAACTGCAAAAAAAATAAAAAAATAAAATGCTACAATGTGTGTAAAATAAGTTGCGAATTTTTGTGAAGGAAGTTATGATTGATTTTTGTGGTGAAAGTTATGAATGGTGAAGTTATAGTGTACACCCCTAAAGTTATGAATGACAAATTTATATACTTTTTGTGATGAACTTTTATACTTATTGTGATAAAAGTAATGGATACTCTTTTTTTTCCTCTTATATATCTCCTAATTTAAGGATACTCCTGTGCAGTTGCATTTAGATTGTATGATCTAAGAAATACCGGGTTTATTGAGCGAGAAGAGGCAAGTATTGCATACTGTATCTTCCTAGTTCCATTTCCTTTCTTCACATTGCATTGCAATCCAGGTATTCATACATTTGAACTTTCTAATGTTGACAACAGTACTTTCAATAGCACTATGTCTTCCTAGTTCCATTTACTTTCACATGTTTTTTGTTGACAACCTAGTTCATAAGACTTTCTAATGTTGCCATTTATGAGTTTTAGTTTTTAAATTGAATTATCATCATGTTACACGGACTCTTCAAAATAAATCAAATATTCGTATCAGACACCCATTACTCGGACAAGGGTATGGGATATGTGCTGAAAACTTTTCAACGGACGCTTCTTATATAATTGTATATAACAATATTATTATATGTACAAATTGTTGTATAATTGTTAGAAATGTCTTTTTGACACTGTAAGTTACATATAATACTATTTTATCTCACATGCTTGATTATAAATATAAAAATATATTATTTTATTGCCAAGTCCGCATATTCTTAAATTTATGGTTTGATGAGTTCGATCATTAAATACATACCTGCACCCGACGCCCGTACCTGACTCCATGTAACATAGATCATCAGTTTTATATACCTACAAAGATTATTTGGCAGGCAAATATAGAGCAGAAAAGGGTCATCTGCTCATGGTGATGAGGGTTTCTTTAAAAATGCCACTTCTCTATGTGATGCTAATAATTTTGTGTTTTACCACAGTTGAAGGAGATGGTGTTGGCACTTTTACATGAATCCGATCTAATTCTTTCAGACGATGATGTTGAAATGATTGTGGATAAGGTACCCACTACCCTGCCCTGTCTGTCCTCTGCTGTTTCATGCTTATTACATACTGATACTACTAATTGTTAGTAAAAATTTTGTTAGGCCTCTATCGACTGAGCCTTAACACAAATTTCACCAATCAAACAATGATCAGGCAATTGTGTCAACGGTTCAATGCCTTGAAAGATTCAAATACTGCCAAATTTTCCGAAGTAAAGAAAATGAGAGAGAGTTGGTAATTGAATTGAAGACAACAATTATGAAAGCAGAATCATAATTCCTTAATAAGTATAAGATGATTGCAATTTTGGGGAAATAAATTACCTTACCACTACTCCTGGTCCTAGAAACGAGATTGAATCTACTCATAACTATTTTAGAACTACTCCTAAGACAAGAAAGAAAAAGATAGAAATTGATGAAACGTCTTTTCTTTGTGTTTGATTTCCATACAATGAAGCCGTAGATGGCTATTTATAGACAAAGCGTAGGGAAAAAAACCACCACCCAAGTAACCACCAACAACTTGTACGTTTTCCATCTTCATTCTTGTGTTGTTGGCACATGTCCTCCATGTCTTCCATCTAAAACCACCACTTTGTAACTTCTCTTAACTTCTAGGTGAACAAGATCATGCCACATGTCATGCACTACAATAATAATTAGTCTAGATGTGGCCGTAGTTACTCTTTTAAGATGACTCATGCCTTGAATCGACAGGCCATAGTCAATAATATTAGATTTGGCCGAAGTTGATAGAATTCTTGAAGATGGCTCATGGCCTGAATCAACGGGCCATAATTGACAGGAAATCATTTATGATGCAAATACTTATTTATCTGTATTTTTCTCAGTCATTCAAAGAAGCAGATACAACAGGTGATGGACGGATCGATCCAGAAGAGTGGAAAGAATTTGTGTCAAAGAATCCATCTCTGATCAAGAACATGACTCTCCCTTATTTGAAGTGGGTATCAATGTTTGTTTCAAGTTCAGATCACCTATTTGAAACCCCACTTCATTTATTAAAATTTTTTTCTTTCCTTTTTTTTTTTTTTTTTTTGTCAATCAATGTAAATTTTCACATTTCACATTGTTTGAAAGTTAAAGAAATAAGTGTTGAAATATAGATATGAACTGTTTTTCAGGGACATAACCTTAGCGTTTCCCAGCTTTGTGGTGAGCTCTGAAGTTGAAGATTCAGAAATGTAAATGTATGAATATACCATCAAGTTTTCAGATTCTTCCTGTCTCAAACATCTTGAGTTGTGCTTTGCTGCGGTTCTGATTTGCTAATATAATGCCACGAGGACTGGAAGAACTTTCTAAATGACGGATTGAAGCTGAGTCGTTGAGCAAGAATGGTTGACAAGCGGGACTTAATATACATTTCTGTCTTCATCTTCTAAAATGTTTGTTCTTCTAATGATGCTTCAACAATTGTATCGAAGTTTCGTATGCGTGCATCATTGCATCATTGCGGTTTCAATCCTCTTTTGTATGGATTGTAATGTTCCAGGATTGTTGGATTTGAAGTAGCTAATAATGTTTTTCAGAATACGCAGTAGCATTGCTATAGCGATAAAGGTTTATATTTCATTGTTGAAATTATTGGTGGCTAGCTATTAATGTTTTTACGTATTTTATATATTTATATATTTTTTACATATTTCAATACATTTTATATCTATCTATCTATCTATCTATCTATACTATTATAAAGTGAACACATAATATGGTGTCCTGAAGCTTGCTTCACTCTCCTCATGCTTTTTTAAAAAAAGTTAAACAAAGAGATGGGCAAGGCTTGAACCCATGACCATGGGTTTAAGTATGAGGACTCATACCACTTAAGCTAAGTACACATTATAATATTAATTTCATTATTATTTTCTTTTATTCCTATTTATTTAATTTGCACATTATTATTTTCTTTTATTCCTATTTATTTAATTTGCACACACATCGTGTGTGCCCAACCGCTAGTACTATTATAAAGTGAACGCATAATATGGTGTCCTGAAGCTTCACTCTCCTCATGCCATGTGGCAGTATTTTTTATTTTTTAAAAAAAAGTTAAACAAAGAGATGGGTAAGGCTTGAACCCATGACCATGGGTTTAAGTACGACGATTCATACCACTTAAGCTAAGTACACATTATAATATGAACTTCATTATTATTTTCTTTTATTCCTATTTATTTAATTTGCACACACATCGTGTGTGCCCAACCGCTAGTACTATTATAAAGTGAACACATAATATGGTGTCCTGAAACTTCACTATGGTGTCCTGAAACTTCACTCTCCTCATGCCATGTGGCAGTATTTTTTATTTTTTAAAAAAAAGTTAAACAAAGAGATGGGTAAGGCTTGAACCCATGACCATGGGTTTAAGTACGACGATTCATACCACTTAAGCTAAGTACACATTATAATATGAACTTCATTATTAATTTTTTTTATTGCTACTTATTTAAATTGCACACACATCGTGTGTGTGCCACCACTAGTATATATATATATACTGACACTGACCAAAGTTCAAATGACTGTGGTTAGCATTTTCTATGGGGGCCATTTCTGAATAATTTGCTACACAAATAATTTGATAATTTTTTTCACGATATTTGGGACCATTTCTCATTTGGGTTTTTGATCTGTTTTGAGATTTTTTTCTTTGCTTTGAATTTGGGCCTTGATCATAGTTGGACTGGGCCTTCACTCTGGTTTGCGATTTGGTCCAAATTTGATCTGTTTTTTAGATGACAGTCATGTCTTTGGTGTTAATTTGGATTTTGAGATTGCATAAACTTATGGGCCTCCAACGGAGGAGGAAGGAGAAGAGAAACATAATGATATATGTATTTTGTGTAATTTTGTTTAATTTATCCAATCCAATTTCATGATCTTCAAACATAATATGTATGGAATTTTTTTGTTTTTATTTTTTATTTTTATTTTTATTTTTATTGAGAACAATGTTTGGAATATTTGGTGAGTATACAAATTATCAATCCACAAACCAAGCCCTTAAAATGGCTTGGGACAATTAGTTAAAAAATAATTGTGACCCTCTTAGTTGTAAAATAAATTGTGTTGATTCATGTGGGGCAAATAATCTACATAGTTTAACTAGGGCGTTTGGTCTATTGGTTGTATAGCACCCTTTTGTTGGAATATGTGTGAAGGTAGAATCACATATCTGATAAAAAAGTACAAAAGTAAAAAAGATAAGTGTTAATATATATTAAATGAACTCTCCACTTATAAGCTTAAACTTTTAAGTAGGTATGAGTTTCAAATAATATATGTTAGGCGTTGATGTCATATGTGGGGCTCTGAAGTTTCTCCCTAACAAATTGAACCGGTGTTGCTGTGCACTTATGGGTTCCCCGGTTCCCTAACAACTGGTATTAAAGTTGATGGCTGATCTATAGGTGGACTCTTCTAGAGCATTAATGTTGGTGGGGTTTGCTTTGGACTTGCACGAAAACTCTTAATAGAGCAAGAAAAATCCATGGTGACCCTTTGTGATAACCTTATCCTGTATTATACTTTAATTCCTTGATGAAGCATGGGATTATGTGTTTAATGTGAAATTGCATGTTTAATTGTGTGACTTATATGAATGTGAATTTATATCTGTTGTTTGTAGGAAAACCTGTTGAAATTACAACTTAGAACTGAAAATTGAAAGCCTTAGAGGTACCAGAAACCAATTGATTAAATATTTTTATGAGAAGTTTGGTAAATTTTTGATTCAGAATGAATTAATTTGATTTAATCAAATATGTATATATATATGTTAAACTTAAGTCTAGAAGGAGCTAGATTCAACAATTTTTGCTGGAAAGGAAAGATGAGAGAAAAGAAAAGGAAAGAAGGCTCAAGGAAGAGGGGAAGAAGAGAATATAAGCTAGAAGAAGGAGGCTTAGGGGGAAGCTAGGGGAAATTGGAGGAATTGAAGGGAAAATTCCATAACTTAACTTGAGGTATGTATAATTAAACTAAAATTATTGGAATAACTCTTCCATTGTTTAAAATCAAGACTTAAAATGGAGATTACACACTCAAATGAGTTATTGTTTTAAATCATAAGTTTAAATGAATTATATTTATGAAATTGAACTTGGATTTTTTGGATTTGCTTGATTTAAGAGTCAATTTCTTTATATGTTGCTTGCCTTGAGTTTGATTGTGAGAAGTCGGACCTTAATCCTTAGATTTGTGTGATTCGAACTCAAATGGTTACATACAAAGTAAAGATCTAATTGAATTTGAAAGGAAATGAAGAAACTCATGAAATTGTGGAAGCTAGGATTAAGATTTTGGGATTGAAGCAAGGTTTAATCCAATTGAGGTTAATTTACAATTTAATTATGTATATATATATATATATATATTATGTTTTTGAAGTGGATTTACATGAATTGAGGCTTGGAAATGAGTTTGGAAACTTGAAGGTTGAATGAATTTTGGACTGCTCACTTTAACCCAGAATTGCATGTGTGACTATGAGCCCTGCATGTGCGGAACACAGGACAAAATAGAGCATCGTTTTATGTTTTAATTGCACGTGCAGCCCGCACGTGTGGCACATTCCGCACGTTCGGCCAGGGACTTCCGCACTTGTAGAAAACAGGGAAAATTTGGTTTAACTTTTGTTGACTTCTCCGACCTTCTGGACATGTTTTTGACTTCATATAGACAATTCGGGAAATTAAAAGAAAATTAAACCTACCGAGGAATAGAGTGAGTGAATAAAAAGAAAAGTGTATGAATTGAACGAATTGTTTATCGAATTTGTATGTGTGCTATGTTGTGTAGGTCACTAGCACAAAAGATCATTGCAAGGCCTAAATCACTGTGAGTAATAAGTTTGTACTGATATGGTCTTAGTTATTATTTTGAAAATAATATGAAAGTGCATATATAGACTTTTGAAATTGCCTTATGTAATAATATGAATGAGTTTCGATGAATGCTTTATGAATGTAATGGAATGCTTTATAAATGTTATATGTTACATGAATGAATGATAAATAAATGTTATATATAGGTGTGAGGCCGTTCTGTTATATGTGGGCCCAAGGCTGTTCTGTGATATGTTGGGCCTGAGGCCGTTCTGTAATGTGATGGGCCCGATGCCATTTTGTATAATTGGACCCGAGATCGATTGTCAAATTTAAATGTGAAGAAAGCTATTGTTCATTCTAATTTCGAAAAATCATTGTTTTATGTTAAATACTTTCTTTGATTCTAACTCATTTATTATTCCTTTACATTATTATTATTATTCATTGAGTTTCATTCACCTCCTATTGTATATGAATGTAGGTGATCAGCATGGAATTCAACCTAGAAGTCAGCCTCAGGAAATCGTTTATGAGGACCTAGAAGGTCAAGTCTCCAAGAAGGAGCTTTTGTCTTTTCAGTTTTATATTTTATGACAAGACTTTATTTGATTTTGTTGTCATGGATATTTGGGATATGTAAGCTTAATGTTGTATGTTGCTTACTCTTATGTATATGGGATATGTTTGGATCTCTATTATGTACATATGTAAGTGTTTTGTCTAGATCATTCAAGCACTGCTCAATGGACGTTATTTTATATTATTTGGTTCTGCTTCAAGCCCCACTATTGTAAATATATTGTATTCTGTATGAGGCTGTAGGTAATCGGGTGATTACTGGCCGGTTATGATCCAAACTTTTAGGGGCGGGTTCGGGTCATGACAAAGTCGTATCAGAGCATGAGTTAATAACTCATACACGGGTCCATTTGAGTAATGAGGAGTTTAGAAAAATGTCAGGAACATTTGCATTTGTGTTACAAGTGTATGAGTTAAGATGTGAATTTATGATCCTAATATGAGCATGGGAATGAGAGATATAAATACAAGCATGTGAACATGACAGTTATATGATTTACGTGAACCTACACGTACAACTCTGTTGTTGATGTATGTTTATATATATAGCACAAGGGTGAAAAAGATATGTGGTTGTTTAATAGGCTAGGTATTGAGATTAAGAACTAAAGGTTAATATGGAATTGCAACGATTAAAGGAAACCGGGATGTGTTTGTTTAATAAGTTTTGTAGTAAGACAATAAGTTAATATCATTATGGAATTTCAATGTTATAAGAGAATCGGAATTTTGACTAGAACACTGGTGATTTTAAGTATATTGATTTATGGAAATATAGTATTGCAAGGAAGTAGAATCTTTGAAGAGCTTCATGGAGGTCCTATAATTTAAATGTAAACTTAGATTAAGCGAATATTTGGGAGAATTGAGGTATTTGATGGCCAATGAAGTGTGTGGAATTATGGCACTATGGTGTTTGAAGTATGCGATGGTATGTTGATATGGTGGAGATATTGTGTGAAATCCTAAACCATAGAGTTTACATGATCATGCATGATGATATCACCTAAGTTAACCTATGTTCTGTGTTTTTAGGAAAAGGATGGTGAAAAGTAACAATGAAGTAGGCATTGGATCTTTATCGGAACAATTAGACAAGGTAAAAGAAGTTTTAAAGAATGCGGTGAAAGCTATACAATGTTATGATAATTTGCAAAATTAAAGGAAAAA